TAACATTGGTATCTTGTTTGAGGTGACAGCTGGTGTGAGATCTGAGGCGTCATTTGAAGTGGAAATGTGCTTTTTCTCTCTGTTTCGGCTCTGAATGAGCTGTAGGGGGCACACTGGAGTGCATCACATATTTAAATCAGTGACGGCGTTGTGCTGGAGCTACGATAAGCATCAGGTTGCTCTTTACTGACGTCATGTCACCGGTGAAACAAGAAGATCGGAGTAAAAGTGAAAAAGGTAGAAAACCGCCATGAATTTAAAAGCTTCCTGTGATGGCTTCGTTCGCCTGTTGCTCTACATGTCTGGGTATCTGACAGGTGATCAGCTGGGTGAGGGGGGCGGGGCTCTACCCTGGCCCCGCCCCTGTGCTGCTGCTGTTGGATGTCTTGGTCCTGGATGAGCGCGAGCCGTTTCGTCCGGCGGGCAGGAAGGGGCTGGACTCGGACGTGATGACGATGCTGGGGATCCGGCCGATGGCGGACCTCATCATGTGTCCGTCTGAGTAGTCTCCGCTCTGTCAGAGGAAATCATCACATCGTCGTTATTGGTTCTGTTCACGTAGCGGCGAATGCAAAGACAAGGAATGAGCGAAGAACAGGTGGATAAATACTGCCGTGGTAACTTCAGGACGATAGAGTAAACGATGAGTTCTTGGAGGACAGACTGGAGGAGCGTCTATACATCAATCATCTCATAATGAGTTGCTCTGTATGCTAATATCGCTAATGTTCATCTAAGTGCAGATCCAGGGGCCACAAAAGAGACACAAAACTACCACAGAAAGATGCAGCAAGACTGGAAAGGTACAAACACACAGAGGAAAAGAACCCAAAATGACCACAAAGAGACAAAAAACAAACACGAAAGGATGCAAATTAACCATAAATGTGCAAAAAAAAAAGACCACCGTACACAACAATAGAGACACAAATGGAGAAGAGGCACAGAATGACCACAAAGAGACACAAAACTACCACAAAAGGATGTAAAACTACCACAATCAGACCCAAATGCACTTAAAATGGCCAAAACGAGACCAAACACTGATTAAACGTCTGTAAAATGACCAGATAAAGACAGAAAACCACCACAGAGGGACATGGAGCACGACGTATGAACAACTAGAAGCTGTGGTTTGACTCCACACAGGAATCAGTCATTATCTGAAGCTTCATTCCTGCTGGATCTCCCAATCGGCTGTTCAGGAACTCGTCCAGGAGCTCCTGATTAACGAGGCCTTGACTTGACTCACATTTGAGATGCTGCCCCGTTCGCTGACTCCGGCCATGGAGATGTCAGTGTCGTAGGAGGTCTGGAAGGAAGACACAGCGACACATGTAAGAGCTCTTCTTGGACACGCTAAATACCAAGAGTTTAATGTTCCTAAATTAATCAACCTGAACGTGACCCCAAATCCTCCCCAGGTGACCCTTGACGTCCTCACACCTGCTGTTACTACTAACAATGATCAACATGAAGGGTAAAGCGTCCTCTGAAAACGTCCTCCTCGCTGTGATAATGTGGTGGTTCATCCGCCTCCTGCTGCTTCCACGCTGCCTGATGAAGCTGAAAACTTACAGCCTCAACCTAAAAGTTTTGTCTTTGAGGAAAGCGTTGTGTTCTGGACAGGTGAAGGTGCTGACTCCCACCGTCGGCCATCTTGGCTGGCTGTCGTTGTAAACTAACAGTATCTAAAGCTAAAATAGCTACGTGACATGAAAGTGTTCATATTGGGCTCATTTGGTGTACGGTACTTGGACATTTTATCCATGAATACATTACGTTTACATATCTGAACCAAGTTACCAATATTTGCAAATACTTTCATAATTTTTCCATCAATTTGTCATAGCACTTCCATTAGCATAATTTATGAATCTATACTTCGGATCTATGTGGAATTTATCTATTTTTGCCAACTACTTCAACAATTAACCACAAAAAATGGCTAAATAAACCAACATTCATTACTCTTTTGATTTAATCCATCACTTCCCACTATTTAGGATTTTTAGCCAACATTTAGTCCATTTTTTAAGCTAACTATTTATCACGTTTAGCTAACTACTTCTTAGTTTTAGCCAACATTTCATCCATTACCCTAGCTACTTATTACATTTAGTCAACATTTATGCCATTGGTTTTTGGGGGGCAAATTATTGACCACATTTAGCCATGAATTACCATTCGCTAACTATTTATTACTTTTAATCCATATTTAATTCATTACTTGTAGCTAGCTATTTATTAGCTAAATGGCTAACAATTTATTACATTTTGCTGTTTCTTATATTTAGCTACCTACTTATTACTTTCAGCTAAATATTTATTGCATTTAGCTAACTATTTGATACTTGTAGCTAACAGATGTTTACATTTAGCTAACTATTTATTACAATTAGCAAAGTAGCTATTAAATTTAGCTAACTATTTATTACATTAACTAATGATTTATTACATTTAATCCACTACCTGTAGGCAAGTATTTTTTACTTTAGTTTTTTACGATTAATTACATTTAGCTCACAGTTATTCTATTACATTTAAGTGAACGTTTAATCCATTATTTTAGTGACTTTTATGTTGTGTTTATTACATTTAGCTAATATTTAATCCATAATTTGTGAGTATCTCTACTCTTTATTGTTTTAGTGAACCATTTAACCCATTACTTTCTGACTATTAGTTACTTTTGGCCAACATTTATTTCATCGCATGTATTTTTACTCTAGGTTAACATTTAATCCGTTATTTAGCCAAACTACTCGTTATGTTTAGACGCTGCATGGCCGACAGGATTTACCCGCTCGAAGACGCCCGAGTCGTGGCTCTTCATCTTGGACTTGAAGCTGGAGGAGGGTTTGAAGTCGGGCAGCTCGGCGGTGTCTCTGCTGATGTCGCAGGACACCTGGCGGCTGGCCGGTCTGGAGCCCATGCTGGACAGGTCGGCCTCAGTGTCTGTCAGACCCTGCACAGGACAGCACACGCTTTAGTACGAGCACACCTGAGCACCTGGCTTCCTGGTCTGCTGTCACCGGTGGACAGGTTCTGCTCACCGATTCGCTGTCGGAGGCGGAGGAGAGGCGCGACTTGCCGGTGCTCTGCCGCCTGAACTGGCTGCTGATGTCGGAGGTCTGGCTGGTCACGGTGGAGCGGCGGGTCGACATGAAGCTGCTGCTGGCCGAGCGCAGGTCGCGAGGATGGACGCACAGCAGGATGCCCATGCACGGGATGTACTTGGCCAGCGCTATCCTGCAGACGGAGGTGGAGAGTTTAGCTGTGCATCAATCAATACTGATCAGTAGGTTATTGGTTCAGGTGGATCAGTTCCCCAGAATGCTTCCATCTAGTTACTGTGCCAAATGGAAAGTATTTTAAACATCGTCAAAAATCGCACCGTTTGTTGAACTGGATCCCGTAAAAAACAAAACATTCTGCGTTTCACGGCACAACCAGGAAGTCTTTANCTATACATCAATCATCTCATAATGAATTGCTCTGTATGCTAATATCGCTAATGTTCATCTAAGTGCAGATCCAGGGGCCACAAAAGAGACACAAAGCTACCACAGAAAGATGCAGCAAGACTGGAAAGGTATGAATGACCACAAAGGGAGGCAAAGCTGCAGCAAACGGACATAAAAAAGAAAAAATGTGCGTCATGGTACAAAAAACAACCACAAAGAGGAACTAAAGACCTGTAGAAGTGCATGAAATGTAAAAAATGTATCGCAAAGGTTCATAAAATGACCACAAAAAGTCTCAAAATGACAAAAAAGGTCCTAAAACTGCAAAATGTCAAACAAAATGACCACAAAGAGACAAAAAACAAACACGAAAGGATGCAAATTAACCATAAATGTGCAAAAAAAAAAGACCACCGTACACAACAATAGAGACACAAATGGAGAAGAGGCACAGAATGACCACAAAGAGACACAAAACTACCACAAAAGGATGTAAAACTACCACAATCAGACCCAAATGCACTTAAAATGGCCAAAACGAGACCAAACACTGATTAAACGTCTGTAAAATGACCAGATAAAGACAGAAAACCACCACAGAGGGACATGGAGCACGACGTATGAACAACTAGAAGCTGTGGTTTGACTCCACACAGGAATCAGTCATTATCTGAAGCTTCATTCCTGCTGGATCTCCCAATCGGCTGTTCAGGAACTCGTCCAGGAGCTCCTGATTAACGAGGCCTTGACTTGACTCACATTTGAGATGCTGCCCCGTTCGCTGACTCCGGCCATGGAGATGTCAGTGTCGTAGGAGGTCTGGAAGGAAGACACAGCGACACATGTAAGAGCTCTTCTTGGACACGCTAAATACCAAGAGTTTAATGTTCCTAAATTAATCAACCTGAACGTGACCCCAAATCCTCCCCAGGTGACCCTTGACGTCCTCACACCTGCTGTTACTACTAACAATGATCAACATGAAGGGTAAAGCGTCCTCTGAAAACGTCCTCCTCGCTGTGATAATGTGGTGGTTCATCCGCCTCCTGCTGCTTCCACGCTGCCTGATGAAGCTGAAAACTTACAGCCTCAACCTAAAAGTTTTGTCTTTGAGGAAAGCGTTGTGTTCTGGACAGGTGAAGGTGCTGACTCCCACCGTCGGCCATCTTGGCTGGCTGTCGTTGTAAACTAACAGTATCTAAAGCTAAAATAGCTACGTGACATGAAAGTGTTCATATTGGGCTCGTTTGGTGTACGGTACTTGGACATTTTATCCATGAATACATTACGTTTACATATCTGAACCAAGTTACCAATATTTGCAAATACTTTCATAATTTTTCCATCAATTTGTCATAGCACTTCCATTAGCATAATTTATGAATCTATACTTCGGATCTATGTGGAATTTATCTATTTTTGCCAACTACTTCAACAATTAACCACAAAAAATGGCTAAATAAACCAACATTCATTACTCTTTTGATTTAATCCATCACTTCCCACTATTTAGGATTTTTAGCCAACATTTAGTCCATTTTTTAAGCTAACTATTTATCACGTTTAGCTAACTACTTCTTAGTTTTAGCCAACATTTCATCCATTACCCTAGCTACTTATTACATTTAGTCAACATTTATGCCATTGGTTTTTGGGGGGCAAATTATTGACCACATTTAGCCATGAATTACCATTCGCTAACTTTTTATTACTTTTAATCCATATTTAATTCATTACTTGTAGCTAACTATTTATTAGCTAAATGGCTAACAATTTATTACATTTTGCTGTTTCTTATATTTAGCTACCTACTTATTACTTTCAGCTAAATATTTATTGCATTTAGCTAACTATTTGATACTTGTAGCTAACAGATGTTTACATTTAGCTAACTATTTATTACAATTAGCAAAGTAGCTATTAAATTTAGCTAACTATTTATTACATTAACTAATGATTTATTACATTTAATCCACTACCTGTAGGCAAGTATTTTTTACTTTAGTTTTTTACGATTATTTACGTTTAGCTCACAGTACATTTAAGTGAACATTTAATCCATTATTTTAGTGACTTTTATGTTGTGTTTATTACATTTAGCTAATATTTAATCCATAATTTGTGAGTATCTCTACTCTTTATTGTTTTAGTGAACCATTTAACCCATTACTTTCTGACTATTAGTTACTTTTGGCCAACATTTATTTCATCGCATGTATTTTTACTCTAGGTTAACATTTAATCCGTTATTTAGCCAAACTACTCGTTATGTTTAGACGCTGCATGGCCGACAGGATTTACCCGCTCGAAGACGCCCGAGTCGTGGCTCTTCATCTTGGACTTGAAGCTGGAGGAGGGTTTGAAGTCGGGCAGCTCGGCGGTGTCTCTGCTGATGTCGCAGGACACCTGGCGGCTGGCCGGTCTGGAGCCCATGCTGGACAGGTCGGCCTCAGTGTCTGTCAGACCCTGCACAGGACAGCACACGCTTTAGTACGAGCACACCTGAGCACCTGGCTTCCTGGTCTGCTGTCACCGGTGGACAGGTTCTGCTCACCGATTCGCTGTCGGAGGCGGAGGAGAGGCGCGACTTGCCGGTGCTCTGCCGCCTGAACTGGCTGCTGATGTCGGAGGTCTGGCTGGTCACGGTGGAGCGGCGGGTCGACATGAAGCTGCTGCTGGCCGAGCGCAGGTCGCGAGGATGGACGCACAGCAGGATGCCCATGCACGGGATGTACTTGGCCAGCGCTATCCTGCAGACGGAGGTGGAGAGTTTAGCTGTGCATCAATCAATACTGATCAGTAGGTTATTGGTTCAGGTGGATCAGTTCCCCAGAATGCTTCCATCTAGTTACTGTGCCAAATGGAAAGTATTTTAAACATCGTCAAAAATCGCACCGTTTGTTGAACTGGATCCCGTAAAAAACAAAACATTCTGCGTTTCACGGCACAACCAGGAAGTCTTTACTGACTCAGCGGTGACCAACAGTCACGTGAGAAAAATTCACAAACTATTCAGCTCCACTGCAGGCTGTGTACGAGTCAGAGGAAACGAATGGACGTAGTTAAAGATCCACATCATGTCCAGTCACCCGGTGGTTCCAGTCCCTCTAACACCTGTGGGGATGATGACTCCAGCTGATTTCAGTTTTTGTGGAATTAATCAAAGAAATGCAGCTTTTTTTCTGATTTATGGGATTATAAATGTGTCACACTGCCCAGAAGACATTTCAGACTTCTCTCTACTCCTAGTCCTGGTTGTTCTGTTTCCATGGAGACGTGGTGAGAAATGAGCCCAGAGTGAGTGAATGGGATGATAATGACCTTTTTTTTTTTTTTTTCATTATTTTCTGACATTTGCGCCACAACAAAGGCATTAAAAGTGAAACCAGCTGCCGTGGTGAATTAATACGACCTTGTCTGAGGTTTTCTGTCTGCTAATTATTTGAAACAAACACAAAAGGACAAACTCTACGACAAATTAGCTCAACGTGAGCTCAGATGAACGCATGAGCGCTGCTCTGTGACAGAGTGGGAGTTAGAGGACCCGTACAGATACCAGTCATCAGATAATGCAGACGTGGAGTAAACCTGCTCATGTTGTTGGTCATCGAGCTCTCAGGATGCTGACTGTCGTGTTACCTGTACTTTGGGTGTGTGATGGCGTAGATGATGGGGTTGTGGATGGCCGAGGCCTTGGCGATGACGGCGGGCACAGAGTTCATGTAGGGAGTCAACATGTCTGCGTAGCTACGACAAGAAACACAAACATGATTAGAGGTTTTTTGAGGACACTCTGTGTTTTCAGATCTTTGATAACTAATCAGTCAAAACAAGAAATTCCCTCAGACGTCGGGGATTTTTCACTATTTTCTGACATGTTACATCATCAGCAATCAGCTGAACGCTGCAGAAAACATCAGATATGTTGATAATGATAATAATTTAGCAGCCTCATGTTTCTGCAGGTCCACAACCCAAACTCTGGGGCAAGAAAACAGTTGGAAGGAAATAGAAATGATCAACTGAGAGTTTGAGCAGCATCTAGAGGACACCAGAGGAACTGCAGCTGGACTGATTCTGCTGGTTGCTGACAGAGACTTTGTGCTGGCTCTGGGTTTGTTGTTTACCCGGCGAAGGCGGTGAGGGCGACGGTGGAGTACGGCGACCAGGAGATGACGTAGAGCAGGATGACGATCAGAGCGATCTTCGCCATCTTCCACTCGTTCTGCAGCCGGTGGAAACTCTTCACCGAGTCGCGAGTGCTGCCGTTAATCTTCCCCACAGCCCTGGAAACACACAAACACCGTTCTTCACCCTCACGTTACAAGAAATCCACCCAGACCAGGTAGAGGTGGTGAAACCGAGGAGCACTGACTGGTTGGTGTTGCGGATGGCTCGGAAGATGAAGACGTAGCAGTAGATGATGATGAAGAGCGGCAGGAAGAAGACGAAGATGAAGAGCAGCATGGTGTAGGCTCGCACCGACGGGGTGAAGGTCATGTAGTCCCACGTACAGGAAGTCAGCAGACCCTCTGGGACGTAGGCGCCTGATGGGCGAGAGACACAACACCGACAGAGAGAGAGAGAGAGAGAGAGAGAGAGAGAGAGAGAGAGAGGGAGAGAGA